ACTAAACAGAATGAGTTACCCAAAACCCCTTTGAGAATTCAAGCTAGTAAGTCAAAATCAAAAACAAAAACCTAGAACTTCCAGAAATGCCCAAATTCCTGTTGTCAAGCAATCATAAGCAGCTCTGAGGCTTGGCTCCACGAAATATTTGTATGTGCCAGAGGGTTATCAGCGTGAAGTTAACACAGAACAAAACTTCTTAAATAACTGTATTTTAGTACTTACTACACATACCCTCACCTTTAATTAAGTCATACTATGAAGAAACATTAAAAGTCTCACCTACCTTAGCTGGAGGAACTTTTCCAGCAGCTGTGATCTGACCAGTAAAAAACCGCCCAAAATGATTTGCTGCTAGGACAACAGCTTTATAACTGAAAAAGTAAATAAATATTTCCATAAAATGGAAGATTTTAGACTCATATATTAAGTCACCAATTAAACTTTAATAGTCAAAGAATAATCGCTAACATTGTACAGTACCTACTACATGTCAAAAACCATTCTCAGTACCACATGTATACCCACTCCTTTAACCACCCCAACAATCTTAAGGAAAGGTACAGTTATTGCTTCATTTCACAGGTGAGTGCACAGAGATGAAGAGACTTGAGAGTCACCTGGCTAGCAAATGACAGAACCCAAAGCCTAACCACAGCATCCTGCCTCCAGAGGCACGCTCTCTCACCCATGATGCTCCCTGGCCTCTTCACAAAAAATACTGCACAAGATGAGTTGGGGTGAAAAATGCTAACAATGGTTTACACTGGGTGTTGAAACCACAGATATTTCAAACTTTCTGTTTTACTTCATTATACTGTTCAAATTTTCTTTGAAGATTATGTACTGTTCATATAATAGGAGAAAACTTCAAAATGAAAAAAATCAGATTTAGCTATATGCTTGTACCTCATAAAATTCCACCCTCAGAACAAAAAACCCTTCATTTGATCGCTAATGGTTGAAAGCATGGGATTCTGAGACAGAGTACCTTCAGTGCAGGTCCCAATTCTAACACTAACTAGCTTTGTGACCTTGCGTACATTTCTGTAACTGTCTGACCCTTGGTGCCCTCATCTATACAGTGGGGAGAAGAGCATCTGTCTCTTAGTGTTGTTATGAGGACTACATGAAATAATGCAGGTAAAGAGCTTAGCACAAAGCCTGCGACAGTAAGTGCTTGGTAAATATTAGTGTTTTTGGCTAAAGAAACTCTCTGTACAACAAAAACTAGTAAAATATACAATCTTTCCACAATCAGATATTTTCAACATATTAGACTAATTTCATTTTCAGAACATTTTATACTTAAAAGGCACTTCTGTACACTCTCATGTGATAACATACATATAATTAAAATCATAATGCAACTATGTAATAAGATCTACCTGCTAGCTGACAATAAAACATTTCCCTGATTCAATTTTTTATAAAATAATACCTGATATAATAATTGATGCAAAAGCATAAAATGGCAACCACCATTACTTTAAATTAAGTCAGATTACAGCAGGTAAACAGTATTATAGAGATCACATTACGTGTTGGTCTTATTTCTGAATCCAAGTGATAGAAATTTTCAGAAAGCAAACATAATAAAGATTCAAAGGCCATGTAAGAAACTGGAATTAATAGTTTAAAAGATTCAGTTACTATACTGAAAAAATAACAAAAATGACACAGATTACACAGGAAATGTACATGAAAATGCTGATGGTGGGCAAAAGTGTTAACAGTTTGCCCTTTTTTGATGAGAGCAAAAAAGCTCAGAATGAACATCAGTGAACTGAAGGAGCGGTTCTTCACTGTAATATGGCCATGTGTGTGAGTTAGATAATGATTTATCACATATTGTGTGGATAAGTATGCTAGAAGATTCACCTCAAACAGTACCCTTTGCATATATCAGCTCAGGATATAAGAGAGTGATTCTTTAAATTGTGCCCCACGGATCCCCAAAGGTTCAAATTTCAGCCAACTCTGGAGCCATTCTGGGTCGGCTAGGGGATAAACGTGTTTCTGGACACCCCTCCATCCCCCAATTCAAGCAAGGCCACTCTGTTCTTATTAGATTTGTTTATATTGCCTCATAATATTTCATTTCTACAAAAGATTCTACAGTTAGAAGCCACTGATCTAGAGCCACTGGCTTTGACAACCTTTCATACATGTGCATTTCACAAGACAAAATCAACAGCACTATTAAAAGATTACACTGTACACTTTCTATAGAAAATTTTTAAGTCCCACAATACATAATGTAACTTTTCTACAAACTAAATAATAGGGCAAAACTTTTGTCCTCTGGTATATACTTTGTATTACAAAAAATATCTGAATCAATCATTTGCCATATTATAGTAAAGATAACAAAATATGTTTTTAACCTGTCCATTTTGTTTTCTGCTTTTCTATCAAAAATGAACACTTGAAACCCAAAGTAGAATCTATTTGCTCTATTGGCCTATTTAATATGCTACACCTCAGACAGACAGAAAACCTTCAGTTCACGTGTCAGGTTGTAGAAGACTCTATTCAAATTAGTCTCTCGAACACTGATTATTTAAATTATTTTGATTTGTTGATGCCTCGTTCATATTAGCAAATTGTCACTACCAATAGCTTTCATGCTTAAAATCTAATTCAACCAATCTCTTGTAGAAGAGTTGATTTCATAAGCATCATCAATTTCCAGATTTTTCCCACTGGCTAGGCAGTCAGCAATACACTACACTCATAGAGCTATTCCCATCCCTCCCCAGGGCAGGCATGATTCCTCAGCCAGAGCCACATTCCTTGAGCAGAATGCACCTTAGTCTCCTCTCAACACAGGGCTCAGCCAGTGTACTGGGAATGCACGAGTGGTGGACAAAGATAGGACATATTAGCCCTCAGTTAGCAATATGGGGTTTTTTAAGATTTTATTTATTTATTCATGAGAGACACAGAGAGGCAGACACACAGGCAGAGAGAGAAACAGGCTTGCTGCAGGGAGCCTGATAGGAGACTTGAACCCCCAGATCCAGAACTCCGGGATCATGCCCTGAGCCAGAGGCAGATGCTCAACCACTGAGCCACCCAGGCGTCCCATAATATGGGTTTTGACACCTGATGAAACTTCCTCAAGCCCAGACATTTTCCCTATTCATTAAATATCATGAATTTACCTAAGCGTGCTCACTTCGGCAGCACATATACTGAATTTACCTAAGCAACCTAATTAAAATGGCAAATGCTAATATGCATATGCTGGGTTGAACCATATGAAACTGCCAATACCCAACCATCTTTTACTTGTAAAAAAAAATTTGTGGTAACTAAACTTACTGTGGTAATCATTTCACAATAAACTGACATATCGAATTAATATGTTTATGTCTTAAACATATAGAATGTTACAAGTCAATCATATCTCAAAAAAAACTTGAAAAATAGCCATTTCCACCTAATATACCTGTATACACACATATCCACACATATATGCAAGAGAGTGTATTCCTCAAATAATTTCACAACCATTTGCTCTAATGGAAGGCAATAAGGCTTCTACTCATGACTAAAAATGAGTGTAGAAGAGACTGCAATATGAAGAATTATTTCCTATAACTAAGAAACAGTAAGATGAGCCTTAAAAAATAAGCACACTCTTGGGGCACATGGGTGGCTCAGTGGTTGGGCGTCTGCCTTTCGCTCAGGTCATGATCCCAGGGTTCTGGCTTCCCACAAGGAGCCTGCTTCTCCCTCTGCCTATGCCTTTGCCTCCTCTCTCCGTCTCATGAATAAATAAAAATCTTAAAAAAAAAAAAAAATAAGCACACTCTCAAAAAGCAGCAATCTCCAACAATTATTACAAGTAAAATCACTGTCAGAAGAGCCACAATGAGCCAATTTCTAGAGTACCATTGTGCTTTTGTTCAACTGAAATGGAAAAGAATCAACATACCCAGCAATGTTGGCCATGGAGCTTAGTGCATCATATCCCTGAGCAATTGTGACTCTTGGAACCTGGTCCATTGCCAAAACTGTAGTTTTTCTTTTAGAAAGTTTATTTAGCAAGTCTGGATTTTGGGCAGGGTAAATAAAGCTAATCAGTGTTCCCGATGTCTTTAAAAGGTCGGCTTCATGAACACCTAATGTTGGATTAACCATGGGGGCTCGCACCTAGAGGAAAAAAAGTCACATTGGTGATTAAAAATATAAATACCTTTATCATATTTTTAAGTAAACAAGGACAATTTAAATAATACGCCATGATGGAAATAACACTCCAGAAGTAATCTTTCAGCAATAAATTTCTGACTAAATTCCTAAACAAGGTAAGCAGCACAAAGATCTTTGCCATCTGTCCTCTGACTGATGACCTATGAACTGGTCTGAGCAGAGAGCGTGCTATTATTCTGGTAAGATTAATATATTAGGATAAACATGCAGGGAGTTTTTGTTGTGTCCAAAGATTCAATTCTTGCAAATTTTGGCAAGCACCAACATTTGGAGCAGAAAGAAGTTAAGAACATTTTAACCAAGGCACCTGGGTGGCTCAGTAGAGGAGTGTCAGCCTTTGGCTCAGGGCATGATCTTGGGGTTCTGGGATCAAGTCCCGCATCCAGCTCCCCACAGAGAGCCTGCTTTTCCCTCTGCCTATGTCTCTGCCTCTCTCTGTGTCTCTCATGAATAAATAAAATCTTTAAAAATAAGAAAATAAAAATAAATAAATTTTTAAAAAGAATATTTTAACCTAAAATCTCCACTACATACATATATGTCACCTTAAAATTTCAGGCGAATACTTATAGATGAACACAATTCAAACTAGTACCCTTGCTAAATTGGGACTAAGCAAAAAGCTATAATATATTCTGTTACGTGAAAAGTATCAAATAAGCCCATGAACACATACACCGTATGTTTGAAAGTTTCGGATGTCCACATCTTGAATCAATTTTCTTTTAATTCCACTTAAAAGGTATTTTAAAATGTGGCTCTTATTTTTTTTTTTAATTTCTTAAAGCCATTTTCAGGGACCTTAATGACTTCAATGTCTTTAAGGCTCGTAACATGTCTTTACTATGACCAGCTTTTCCTAAGTTGCTACAGGAACACATTCAGGTAAGCAGATTCATTGGCTGGCTTTTAAAATGTGTTTTATAACCAAGTTTAAAACCCAATCTTCAAGGGACACCTGGGTGGCTCAGTGGTTGACCATCTGCCTTCAACTCAGGGCGTGACCCCAGGGTCCTCGGATTGAGTCCCACATTAGGTTCCCTGAAGGGAGCCTGCTTCTCCCTCTGCCTGTATCTCTGTCTCTCATGAATAAATAAATAAAATCTTTAAAAAAAAAATCAATCTTCAATTAACATGTATCATTTCCTTAGCTCTCATTTCTCAAATATGCTCTTAGGCAAGTAAGCCCAAGAAATTTAACAGCTAAGGGACTTCTATTTTAAAAGGAAACAGAAACACAAACACTAGGGCAATACTCTCATTTCACAGCATTTCATCTCAATTTACCTATGAGACACCTTTATTTGTTACTCCCATTTTGGCTGTTGTTCTGGTGATGCATATGATTTTAATTAAGGTTCTGGACTTTAATTAAGACTCTCTGGCAAGGTCTATTTTTCCTCAGTGAGAATCTATAATACAGATTTAATAAAAATTAGAGGACAACTTTGAATTAATTCTACTGGCCCCTATCAAATGTTCAGCTGAGACTGCTGGCATCTAAGTGAGTTAAGTCAATAGAATGTTTCCCTGAATGTGCTTCTTGGATCACCAGTTCCTCAGGATATTAACAGGCTTGACAAAAAATAGGTCACATGGCCAAGTAGTTAATTAATGCAAGCATAAAGTTATGTTTCTATATTACAAGATTTCTCAGCGCTTTTAACATGTTCATACACACTATGAATCTCTAATAAGAACACAAAGCATTTCCAAAACTTATGTGTGCCCTACCAACCCTTGATTGTGGGACATCTTGTTTTTGAATCCCTAGAGCATATACTGGAATGGATTGTACTTATTCTTCTATTTACCCTAAGCTCTTTTGCTATACTAAGTTATCAAATATCTGTACACCTGAACACCATAAAAGCTTTAGCTGAATTACGACTTACCTACATACCATAAATTTTACTATTAATTTCTGTAGCAAAAAAAAAAAAATTATGTCTTCTGAAAAGATCACTAAGACCCTACCAAGACCCTATTCGGTAGAGTTTAAAAAAACAAACAAAAAACAATTGTGTGAATTGAATACACACGTTAAGAAAAGCTGGTCTTCCCTGAAAAAGTAAGGAGCTTCTTTTAGTCTAATGATCATTCTTTACAATCCCTATTTGCCTCCTTGTCTTGGTTGCAGAAGGCTTAGGGTTTAAGTTAATGCTCACTTCCAGTAATTATCTCTACCAGACTTGTGACACAAACTCTTCCTTTCTGATTATTTCAGATTTTAAGTCTAAAGTTCTTCAGCACCTAAATTTCTAGCATATCCTAAGACCTTTCAATATAGTAAGGCTACTCCCCACTCAGCCCCAAGCCACTTTCTCCAGGACAGCCCTGCCCTCACTAGAAATTGCATTTATGTCAGTTCCATCACTGTTCCTTCCAGGTACATTCAGTACGTTCAGGAATTCCATGCGTTTTTTTCCTGTTCCAGTAGCAGTTAAATACTCACCTGTGGGTATTTTGGATCTATATGAACCATGAAGTGTAAATGCTCCCTAGACAGTAAGAAGGGAATTTCCACATGACAAATGTAAAAACGAAAATCACTTTCTCCTCTCATGGTTAAACAAAGATCACACTGCCTGATAAAAGTTCTACTGGAATATGAAGAATATTCACAACATGCAACCATTTCTCTGGGAAAAGGCATTGTTTGAAAATATGAAGAAACGTAACAATAGAATAATTCAATTTTTCTATGAAATGTTTTTTAAAAATCAGCATGCCAGGGGTGCCTGGGTGGCTAAGTCAGTTAACCGTCTGCCCTCGGTTCAGGTCATCATCCCAAGGTCCTGGGATTGAGCCTGGTGTCCAGCTCCCTGTTCAGCGGGCAATCTGCTTCGCCCTCTCTCCCTCTTCCCTGCTCCTGCTCTCTCTCACATGTGCTCTCTCCCTCAAATGAATAAATGAAACCTTAAAAAATAAAAAATAAACAAACAAAAGTCAGCATGCCATAAATGACGGGGGAAAGGAATAATTACTTTGACCACCAAATCAGAAGCCATCACTTCCTTCACCCCTTGGATCTGGGCACCTGCTGCTCTGTAGTGATCATCAGAAAACTTGGAAGCTTCACCAGCACCCGATTCCACAACAACACTAAAACCCTGCTTGACCAAGGCCTGAACACCAGCAGGAGACAATGCCACCCGCTTCTCATTTTGGAAAATCTCCTTGGGGACACCAACAGTCAATTGCTTATATGGAATTCCTACAAAGGCAAAAAACAAAACAAAAAAAAAGAAAGAAATTTAGTGAAAAAACAACAACATAAAAACAAAACTGAGCAGTTTGTCCAAAATACACTGCACATACAAGTTACTATTCAAAGTAATGTTCGGGCTGCATAATCATAATTTTTTGATACACAGGAAATACTATGCTCACTCTCTTGAAAATTCCAAATATTTCATTTAACCAAATGGCTATCTTCAAAGGACATGACTAAATTAGTTTATTCTTAAAAAAAAAAAAATAGGTTGTGAAAGATCAATCAACATGCTAATTCCACTCTTCAAACTAACCCTCAGGGATTTATGGTCTCCTTGTCCTTACCTTTATGAAAGATAGAAGTAATTGCTGTTTTGAAGAACCACCCTATACTAAACATTTTGTTGGCCCGCCATACTCAAAGTTTCTTTCCTGGCAACCTGGCCACAGGCAATTCCTCATAGTTTTCCAAATGTTGTATCCTGAGACCCTACCTTCTTGGCCACAGCTAATTAGACCAGGGATCAACAGCTAGGTCAAAGATAATAGTCTACAGAACAGCCTCAAACATATTTAGAAAGGGGGGATCCCTGGGTGGCGCAGCGGTTTGGCGCCTGCCTTTGGCCCAGGGCACGATCCTGGAGACCCGGGATCGAATCCCACATCGGGCTCCCAGTGCATGGAGCCTGCTTCTCCCTCTGCCTGTGTCTCTGCCTCTCTCTCTCTCTCTCTCTCTATCATAAATTAAAAAAAAAAAAGAAAGGGAACTGCCTGAGGACACTCTATGTTGGCCAGTGACGACCCAATCCATTCAGGTTCTTTCTCGGGGGTCTGAACACGAGAACAACAGAAAAGGACAGAAGGAGTAAATTTGTAAGCTAGGAGCTATAGGAACTATTTGTAAGCAACCATAAGATAATCAAAAGGAGGTAGACAGCAACAGGAATAGAAACATCAGTAGTAGAGATACAAACAGGGAAGATGAGACACAACTATGAAATCCAGAATAACATTCCACTTTTCTAAAAGTAAATGAAAGGTTTCCTGGACTTCTGTACAGGAAAGCACACATACAATAAACCTTCATCACAAAATATAGCCTGATGTGCTCCTCTGTTCCTTGCAACCCAAAAGACCCTCTATGGGGATCCCTGGGTGGCGCAGCAGTTTGGCGCCTGCCTTTGGCCCAGGGCGCGATCCTGGAGACCCAGGATCGAATCCCACGTCGGGCTCCCGGTGCATGGAGCTTGCTTCTCCCTCTGCCTATGTCTCTGCCTCTCTCTCTCTGTGTGTGTGACTATCATAAATAAATAAAAATTAAAAAAAAAAGACCCTGTATGATATACACAGTTAAAGTATTTATATATGGTTCTGAACAGCTTTAGCTAAAGTACATTACTTGCTTGCATTGTTTTACTCAACATGTGGGCATAAATAGACTTTTTTTAAAATAAAGATCTGCTTCTATATGTTTTACTAAAGCAAGGAAATCTACTCTTGCAACCTAAACTCTGAATAAAAAAATCATCTCTACAGAATAACAATAATTATTAAGTGATGCCTTAGAGAAATGAAGTCAACCTAAAAAATACCTTCATTTGAACACAGTCTTAGACCCCATTCTCCATAAGCACTAATAACTGACAGCAAGCCAAAGGAAAACATTTGCTAAATCTTACCCTCTACTTGAAAGACAGGGAGGAAAATAATAGAAGGCTGGAAAATATTTCGGATTGACATGCAAAGTTAAATCTCATAAACATTTGGAATTTAATCTGACAACCTCAAATCCCTAGGCCTTATATACCATAAGTCAAGGAAGCTACCAAAGAAAATGAAGTCTCATCAAACAGATTTAGGAGCCAACCAGAAAGGGCATCCACTTGGCCAAACAGGAAACAATCTGAGCATGAAAGGGAATAATTAATTGCAACGTAACAAAACACATCTAAATGCATTCGTTATGATACTCAAAAAATATATATCTTTTTTTTAAGATTTTATTTATTTATTCATGAGAGAGAGAGAGAGAGGCAAAGACACAGGTAGAGGGAGAAGCAAGCTCCATGCAGGGAGCCTGACATGGGACTCATCCCGGGTCTCCAGGATCACCCGAAGGCAGCGCTAAACTGCTGAGCCACCTGGGCTGCCATAGATCTTTTTTTTAAAAGCTTCACTGGTCAACTTTAGCAGATATGTGTAAGCAGAATAAGGGTATCCCAAAGATATCCACATTCTAATCCTCAGCAACTGTGAATATGTTAGACTATATAGCAAAAGAGAATTAAGGTAGCAGACAGAATTAAAGTTGCTAATCAAATGACCCTAAAATAAGGAGATTATCCTGGGTTATCCGGGTGGGCCCACTGTATTCACAAAGGTCCTTAACTATGCAAGAAGAAGAGAGAACAGTCAGTCAAACAGTAATTTGAAGGTGCTATGCTGCTGGCTTTGAAGATGGAAGCAGGGGCCACGAACCAAAGAATACAAGCAGTTTCCAAAAGCTGGACAAGGTTAAGGAAAAAGACCTCCTCTAAAGCCTCAGGAAGGAATAGAGCCCTGCCAATACCTTGATATAAACCTAGTAAGAGCCATTCCAGGCTTTGGCCTCCAGGAGTACAAGATAATGAGTTTGTATTATATGAAGCCAGTATATTTGTGATCACTTGTGACAGCAAAAATAGAAATTACTT